CGTGCGTGCGTGCGTGCGTGCTGCGTGCGTGCGTGCGTGCGTGCGCGTGCGTGCGTGCGTGCGTGCGTGCGTGCGTGCGTGCGTGCGTGCGTGCGTGCGTGCGTGCGTGCGTGCGTGCGTGCGTGCGTGCGTGCGTGCGTGCGTGCGTGTGCGTGCGTGCGTGCGTGCGTGCGTGCGTGCGTGCGTGCGTGCGTGCGTGCGTGCGCGTGCGTGCGTGCGTGCGTGCGTGCGTGCGTGCGTGCGTGCGTGCGTGCGTGCGTGCGTGCGTCTGTGTGTGTGCGTATGGTTTTGTGTCTCTGTGTGTGTGCGTGTGTGTGTGTGTACGTGCGTGCGTGCGTGCGTGCGCGCGTGCTTGCGTGCGCGTGCGTGCATGTGCGTGCGTGCGTGCGTGCGTGCGTGAGTGTGTGTACCTTCGTCGGTGCATGCGTGCGTGCGCGCGTGTGCGGGTGTGTGTGTGTGTGTTGTGCGTAAGTGTGTGTGTGTGTGCGTTTGTGCGTGCGTATGCGTACGTGCGTGCGTGCGTGCGTGCGTGTGTGTGTACCTTCGTGCGTGCGTGCGTGTGTGTGTGTGATTGTGGGTGTGCGTCTGCGTGTGCGTTTGCTACTGAGTTTGCGTGTGCGTGTGCGTGTGCGTGTGGGTGCGTGCGTGTGTGTGTGTGTGCGTAGGAAGGCCAAGCTCGTGTGTGCATAACCATGCGTGTACCAGCGGCGAGCGAGGGGGGGAAGTGAGAAGGAGAAAGCCTTTTCAGAAGGCGGCGGGATTTCTCAGAAGCCTTCGCGCCTTCTGAGAAGTTTCGTTTCTGTTTCTGGGGAAGGTTCAGAAAACTGTTCACAAGGCCCGGGGACTTCCGAGCCTTCTGAGAAGGCCCGCCCCTTTTCACTTCGCCCCCGCGCTCGCCGCCAAGCGTAACTATGCGGAGCCCTGCGTGTGGAACCCTGTACGTGCGGAGACCGATGTGTGTAGGGGGGGATAGCTTCCCATGTGCTTGCGAATGCGAAACCCTATGGTGTGTGAACCCTGGCTAGGGGCCTCGGGCATTCCACGCCAACGCGCCTGTAGGCGGGCCTGGCGGGGATCAAAGGGGATATGCGCCCCAGGTCTTTCCGGAGCCAGGTCCTGGGCCACCTGGACCCGCGCACCCTCGCGGGCGGTTGCCCAAAATCGCCCGAAATGCTGGCAAATCGGGGGCGCGGGCCTGTTAGGAGCCCTCCAATCCATCTGTTTCTCACAGTTGGCATGACCTCGGGGCACAATTCTGCGTGCATTGAGGCACTGTGGTGGATGTGAGTGGAGCTTTAGGAAAGTGGAACTCCAGAAGGCCGCAGGTCAAGAAAGAGAATAACTCCATCAACATAGACTGTCGGCCGTCCGCGCGAAATTACCGGATCTGCGCTCGACACCCCTGGCGGCGCATCCGGCGCCGTTCCTGGCGCGGTCCGCGCGCCAGGGAGGAGGATACAGCGCCCATCCAAGAAATCCGCGCGGATTGGCGAGAGTTCTTGTTCATGCCATTGCATCTTCCTCTCAGCAGGTGCTGGGAACCCGGCGGACCCCCCACCAGTAGCGGCCAGTAGCGGAAGCGGCCAGATCTTCGCCGACCTGGCCAGCTCTGGGCCTCTCAGAGCACAAGCGCTGTTTGTGCAGTTGCGCCTTCCTTAGACAACGCCATAAAGGGTCACCGCCAGCGGGGTCGCAAGTTTTTCCTGAGAATCGAGTTTCGAGGATCTGAGGTCGAGGAGATGTCGGAGGATTCTGACAGGGCCGGCAGGCTCTGGGGGGCTTTGGGGGGTCCTGCGGGGGCGACCCCCCTGTAGTGGTCACCCCCTTTGGCATTGCATTGCTCAGAGGGCTGGTCGGGTTCGGAGCTCCCGCTCTTCCCTTCGGTGTCTGCCCCCCCTCGGGGGGGGGGGACCACAGCGCGCAGCTGGCCCTCGGGCGCTCAGGGAGCCCGCTGCTGGGATCTGTGGACGCACGGCTGGGCAGGCTTGCCGACCAGAATCTCATCCCACATGATCCTCCTCCACCGCCTCCTCCACCTCTTCCTTGCGTCTTCCTCGGCATGATGCCTGGCGCCTCGTCCTCTTCTTCATAGGATGCACCCCCTGGGGCATTCGATTCCGCATCGACGTTGGCTTACACGTAGTCGAAAACTGGCCTAATCCGCCAATCCCGCATTGTTTCAGGATCCCGCCTAATTTGTTCCAAACCCTCCCTTGGTTGGGTTCTTGTTTTGACTAGTGCAGCGGGGTCGCCAACTCCCTTTCCTTCTCCTCCTCCCCCCCGCTCTCCTGTCGGCTCTCTCCCCTCGCATCTCTCTTGGGGGCTGCGAAGCGCGAAACTGTCGCCACTTTCGAGAGCTGTTGGGGGCGGGGCAACACAGTGGGGTCCCACGCAGTCCCAAGAGACCTCGCCATCCCTGGGAGGGGTGCGAAGTGCGAAATTGTCGCCACTTTCGAGGGCTGCTGGGGTGGCCAGCACAGAGGGGTCCCACGCAGACCCAAACGGGACCTCGCCATGCTTGGGGGGGACCGCAAAGGGCGACACCGTCGCCACTTTCGAGGGCTGTTGGGGGGGACAGGACAGTGGGGTCCCACGCAGACCCCAACGTGACCTCGCCACCCTGGGGGGGTTCTGAAGTGCGAACCCGTCGCCACTTTCGAGGGCTGCTGGGGGAGCCAGCACAATGGAGCTTCACGCAGATCCAAAACAGATCTCGCCATCCCTGGGGGGCTTGCGAAGTGCGAACAAAAACGTCGCCAGTTTCGAAGGCTGTCGGGGGAGCCAGCACAGTGGCGCCTCACGCAGATCCCAAAAAGATCTCGCCATCCCTGGGGGGGGGGCTGCGAAGTGCGAAACTGTCGCCACGTTCGAGAGCTAGCGGCGCGCCTGCGCGCGTTTGGTGCTCACACTAAGCGGTGCAGGCAGGAAGCGGAGGGGTTGGCGGGCGAGCTAGGCCGTGTCCTCTTCTTACACTATTACAGTAGTTTTTGCTCTTCCGAGGCGCCGCAGCAATGCGGAACGCTGGCCGCGTAGGTGTTGATCATTTGGGCATGGGAAAACGCGACGCTTCATTGTCTGGTTGCGTCTCCACCGATGTAACCTGATCTTGCCCATGTTCCATCATCTCGCTGTTTCTGCCGAGGCGGTCGTTCTTCCACCCCGATGTTTTTGTCAAGTCCTTCCCAGTGCAATGCCTCCTGGCCTTATGTACCTCTGTTCTGCTCCATGCACAATTCGCACGACATAGATATCCGCTGCGCACCGTCTCTTGCAATGTTGTTGTTACGCTATTTTCTGTACACCCTATACTTCCCGTGGTGCCAGTGGGTGGGGTATGCCGCAGGGTAATGTATAAAACCATTCATATGGCGTCATCTGGGGACTATATACACATCGACTGGTCCGGCGCAGTCGCTTCTGAATCGGATTTGCGTAGCACTTAGTGGTCCCCACGGAGTCATCCCAGGAGCTGCCTCCTAAGATCAAACAAGTTTTACGCCATTCCGCCGACCCCCTATGAGGCAGAAGGAGCCTTGAAGGAGAACGGGGCGGAGGAAGGGGAAGACAATAGCAGGACGACGACGACGTCGAGCAGGAGGAGGAATAGGAGGACGACGACGACGAGGTATTTGTCCCAACCTTCCCTTGGTTGGATTCTCGTTTTGCATAGAGCACTGGGGTCGCCAACTCCCGTGTCCTCCTCCTCCCGCCCTCTGTCCCCCTCTCGCCTGCCTGCGTTGGGGGAGCCAGCTCTGTCCCCCTCTCGCCTGCCTGCTGGGGGGGACAGCGCCCCGGGACCCCAAGCAAAACAAAACGGGACCTCGCCATTCCTGGGGGGCTGCGACGTGCGAAATTATCGCCAATTTCGAGGGTTGCAAAACGGACCTGCTGGGGGGGGGGCAGCCCAGTTGGGACCCACGCGAACCCCAACGGTATGTCGCCATCCCTAGGGGCTGCGAAGACAGAAATCGTCGCCACTTTCGAGGGTTGCTGGGGAAGCCAACGCAGCCGGGTCCCACGCTGACCTACATGGAACCTCGCCGTTCCTGTGGGGCTGCACAAGGCGAAACCGTCGCCAATCTCGAGGGCTGCAAGGGGGGGCTAGCACAGTGGGGTCCCACGCAAACCCAAGGGACCTCGCCATCCCCGGGGGGGGGAAGTGCGAAGTCAGAAAGTATCGCCATTTTTGCGGGTTACTGGGGGAACCAGCACAGGGGGGACCCACAAAGACCCAAACGGGACCTCGCCATCCGCGGGGGATTGCGAAGGGCGAAACCATCGCCATTTTCGATGGCTGCTTGGGGGGGGGGGGGGAACACAGTGGGGCCCCACGCAGACCCAAGCAGAACCTCGCCATCCCTGGGAGGGGTGCGAAGCGCGACATTGTCGCCATTTTTGGGGGCTGCTGGGGGAACCAGCACAGTGGGGCGCCACGCAGACCTCAACGTGACCTCGTCATCCGTGGGGGGTTTTGAAGTCCGAAAGTGTCGCCGCCGTCGAGGGCTGCTGGGGGGGGGCAGAGCAGCGGGGTCCCACGCAGACCCAAACGGGACCTCGCCGTCCCTTGGGGGCTGCGAAGTGCGCAGTTTTCGCAAGTGTCGAATGCTTCTTGGGGGGCAGCGCAGTGGCGTCCCACGCAGATCCCCCCAAAAAGGCCTCGCCATCATCTCGCTGCTTCTGCCGAGGTGATGGTTCTTCCACCCCGATGTCTTCCTTTTGGTCATCCTTCCCACGACAATGCCTCGTGACCTGTACTGCCTCTGTTCTGCGGG